CGTCGCTGTCACCCTACGTCGACGACGTCAGGTTAAAAAAAAAGTTTTAGGTCTCTCGGTCATAGCGCTGGTCTGAATAGACTTTGGCAACATCAATCTTATCAAGTCCTCCAATTTAGTGAAAAGGTCAGACAACGTCCGACGTTGAAAACCACGGGAAGATACCCTTGTCAGGGTTTTTGCCTCGACAGCGTGCATGCATGCGCGAAGAACACGGAATTGCAAGGACTTAGAAGGATAAAAGGGGAGGGAGTGCCTACGTTTTGCATGGCCAGATCGCGGCGTGGGGGACGTAGCCACTCTCCACGCATCGATCCGATCATTCAGCCCGCGGGCCGACTAGACACAGGAAAGAAGAGAGAGGGCGGGAGAGACGAAGCTCAAAAAGAAAGATACAGTTACAAGGGCGCCCTGCCCAAAATTACAGTTACATGCAAGATTAAGGGCGCCGACTAATCAGACCCGTAGCAGCCGTAAAAAGAAGCGCGTGAGCAAAAAGCACCGCGCGATAAAAAGAAATTCCGAATCCCAAAATTCCAAAATTCCAAAATTCCTTTTTACGCAAAAACAAAAAAATAACTTTATTAAAGCGCAAAATCCGAAAGGAAGGTCCGAAATTCCGAGAGCCATTGAGGGCTCGACAAGATTCGAAAAAGAAATTCTAAAAGAAGCAAAACTTCCCGCTCGATCACCGCGCCAAGAACCCGACAATAGAACAAGAAAGAAGCGACGCCAAACATGATTAATTGCGCCCTTTGTCGGCGCGCCAACCACTCGATCGACCATCCCGAGACTTGCCCAGCCTTGAACCCAACCATCCGAAAAGAGGCGACGTAAAAGGACGAAGAAGCGAGGACACCGATGCAATTTTCCCGTCGATCCCGATCTCCTATAATTGGCCCAACCTTCCCATCCTAGGACCCCTCGTTGTCGCCTCGTAGAGGATCACGCGGAATAGCAATTGGTTCGTCACACACTGCTGCTACTCGATGGGGGTTGGGGGAAGTAGGTGGGAGGCGCAACTACTGGCAAAATGCTGAGTCTTTGCGTTAGCCGGGCCCCCCAACCGGCGGCCCCACCTACTCCCTGACCACCGCCTATTAGGGCGGGAACCACCATGTAGCTCTACTTGGAGGGGTCCCCTATACAGGCTTAGGCGTAGTGGTAGGTAGATAGTGAAAGGTGAAATTGATGTAGCCCAGTGGTTAGAGCACTGGTTGGAAATGCGCATTGTGGTATGCCGTTGTGGGTTCAAAACTCTGCAGCCTTGCGCATCGCCACCGACAGGGCGTTAGAATGACACACGACTGGACACACACCTCCTTGGGATGATGCAGGTAAGTTATTACTAACACTGCCTGCGTACCACCCAAGGTCTAGTCCATGGTTGTTGTATGTGGGGACTGGGTGATGGAGGGTATCCTGATGTTCTTGGTCTACGGGGTTGTCATGAGACTGCTGGGTGGCTTGCATAGTCCGGTTTACTCGAGTCTTGCAGAGCACAACTACAGACTATTTCACAGTGTAGGTCAATAGGTTAAGTCACTTGCACGATTCACATAGGTCCTGTGTTCGATACCAGACTGTAACTTAGGGCTGGTCATCCACTTAGTACGTGGTCAAAGGATTGAGGCTGGCATAGCAGTTCCTTAGTACGGGATGTCGAGAGTGTCAGGAGATACTACACTTTACCGTGGGGCTGGAACGGGCTCCAGGGACATACAAGGGAACGGAGGATTGTCTGCTCTCAGATTACCATACAACACAGGGCTAATACAGTCCATGATTCACGATTGAGGGTGGCCTATCCTCCTAGTACGTACCTTAGAGTTGAGGCTGGCATAGCAGTCCTTAGTACGGACGTCGGGGGTGTCAGGAGATACTGCACCTTACTGCGGGCCTGGAACGGGCTCCAGGGATTTACGAGGGACGGAGGATCCCCATCTCTCTACCATCAACACCATAGAACACTGTAGTAAAAAGACAACATAAGGATAAGAAACTCAGTCCATAACTCATGACCTAGGGTTGGCTATCCTCCTAGTACGTAGCATAGGGTTGAGGCTTACATAGCAATTCCTTAGTACGGGATGTCGGGGGTGTCATGGCCGGAA